GGCCAGACCTGCAGGAAGAAGTCGCCCTGCTGCGACATGGATTTCTCCAAGGTACTATCGGAGCACCGAAGCAAACATGGGTCTGGGTGTTGGGATGTTAGGGTGTTGGGGTTTGGGATGTTGGGGGGTTGGGATGTGGCTGCGGGAAACAGATGAAGCGGCTGGGGGAGGAGGCCCCTAAGGGGCAAGAACAGTTGAACAAGTTGTTGTGATGCCGTCGATTGAATCTTCTCCGTTCCCGGGAAGGAGGACATGTCGATGCCGATGATGCGAGGGGCTCGCTTGGTTGGGTGGAGGGGGAGGCCGACGTTATGGCGGTTTCACTGCGATGTGAAAGTGCAGTGCCACCTGTGCCGCCACGGCCCCTGCTCTTGGTCTTGCTCGACACGCACTGCCGCGCTTGCCAATGTACTTGTTTTATTATTATTATTATTATTATTATTATATATTATTATTATTGTTATTGTTATTGTTATTATTATTATTATTATTATATTATATTATATTATATGATGATGATGTCATTCTCGCTCAATGCTTGCTGCAGCCAGTTGCAGAAGGCGCGTTATTATAATCGCCGCCTGCAACTCAGCCGATTAGCCATTATCATCTCCACGTCCCTTTCCCTTCCCAACAACACCTGCTTGCGGGGAACTGTTTGGACACCTCCGTAACTGATGCCTCCGGTCTCCTCCTCGTGAATGTGGTTTTTATGTTGCACGTCTCGTCTTGTACAACGTGACCGCACGTAGGTGGAGATTCTGCTGAACAAGACATGTTCGCCGGAGATCCGCAAGATCAATTTCGACTCGCAAGATATGCTGTACAGCTGGGATACATACGACAACACGCCGGAATTGGTGTCTCTCAAGTTCACCAACCTGGACCAGTAAGTTCACCGGCCTGCAGCAGTCCTGAATCATTTAATGACGGTTCCTCGTTACCCTTAGTTGCTTGGTGTGGTTTCGGTGCGGCGCGCTACAGTTTGGATTCGGCCAGTTCAGCTTGGGTCGTTTCTCCACTGTTTTCCCAGTCTGTGTGGCGTTACGTTTCCATTTCGACGGAGGGGGAGGGGAGGAGGGGAGGAGGGGAGGAGGGTCACACTTACGGACATGGCTATTGACCGTCCATGTCCCCCTCGGCTTCTACGGACGCCCCTCCGCAATTGTGCGGAACTTGTAACTTCTAAAATCGCCGTCCGCTGCGCCACCAGAAAAACAACCCGCAGTTTGTGAAGTGTATGTGGCTTAGAGGGCAGACACCCCCCAGTATTGAAACAGCATTTTCCGACTCACTTCTCTCCCTACCCCTCCGCCTCCCCCCCCCCACACACATTTCCCATTAGCCGCACACGCTAACCACGGTCTTGCCTTTGCCGAATTTCCCGCTTCGTCTGTACGTCACCACTACAGGAGACTGAACGGCCAGTCGCCCGTCGGCAAGTCTCTGTGCTGGTGAGTGAGCGAATGAGTGAGTAGGAAACTTGCCCTAGATGATTTATGTGTATCTGCGTATATATGGCTCCCGTTTATGTATGCTTGAGGAAGTCTGTGCCAGGCGAAGTATGGCCTTATGAGCGTTATGGGCGAACCCGCCGACTCACGGGACGGGAAGGAGAAACCCCAACCAAGCAGCCCCGCAGGCAGGGGGAGTTGTACGTGTAACTAAGAGCATATACCATCAAGAAACGCTGAACTGTCTTTCAAGACCTATTTCCTCCATCCTAACCGTCATGGCGACCGCAACATCAACCTCCATTCCAAGCCAAAATCCAACTGCCAACTCAACTCATCCGCACCGCAATCGCACATCCCAACCGCCATCCCAACCGCCATCCCAACCGCCATCCCAACCGCCCTAATGTAATAACCTCTCGCAGGTGGGTTCGTCCTGGAAGATGCGCTAATCCGGAGGCGCTGTGCTACCAAGGCAAATGCCAGGTGCGTGTGTACCGGGCCTTAGCTTGCTGGGTGAAGAAGAAGACAACCTCCCTTCAGTGGTAATATGAATACAGTATTAGTGAGCGTGAGCGTGTGTTAGATGTGTTTGATGTGTACGCGCCGCTAGCATGTTATGTTGGCCGCCTCTGGAAGTATGCGGAGTAACGGACCTAGTAAGGCCCAGTAAGTGGAGATCACCACATGGGACCCGGTGGGCAGCAGCGCACCTACCGAGTGCTACGTACCTGGCCGGTCATCTGCCTCCCCCCCCCCTTTGCCTCTCCAGCCCGTTTGCGCGTTCCGCCCGACCGTTCTCACCTGATCTCTTTCTCTCAATCACATCTACACGTACCTAATGCCTCTGCGAACCTTCCCTCCTTCCTTCTGCAGGCAAACATCTTCTCGAATGACAACAAGTGTTGCCCAGCCACGTATGTGAGCTAAGCAGCAGCAGCAGCAGCATACCAGCGGGCCAGCCGTTGCTTTTCATGCGTCTTTCCCGCCCGGATATCACTACCGGGCCGCCTGCTCCACTACTAGGGCTTGCGGGGAGATGCTGCCATGGATGCTATGGGGGGGTGTGTGGTCATAACCGGGCCCCGCGTACGGTCCCTTTCAGTGGGAGGATCTTTGGCCTGCAGGAGATCGACCAAGGCCGGTGACATGAACCTCTCCCCCCCCCATGCGATTGCCGGGGATGTGGCAGGGGGTGGTGAGAGGGCTCTGCCCTGTGTTGAGTCGCCCTTGTACATACAGACGCCGGAAGCCTCTGGACAAGGCGCCCTTGGATGGCATTGCAGGGGCGGCAGCTGTGCGGAGTTAGCAGAGGTGCACCTTCTTGCAGCTGCTGTCCTTGCTTGCCGTTGTGACTTTGCCGTGTGCGTGTGTGTGTGTGTGTGTGTCTCCCGCGACCGGGATGGCTTGGGGTGTCTGGTGGTGTTGGTGAGGGGAGTCTAGGCGGTTTGGTAGTCGGTAGTAGTCGGAGTTGAATGGTGGTGGCGGTGGTGGCGGTGGCGGTGGTGGTGATGGTGGGTTCAGGTAGGGTCTGAGTGATGCTGTATCATGTTGGCTTTCACTGCAGGATGTTGCTGTTGACGATGCACTTGGTCACCATAACCGACTGGATAAGAGTGAATTGCCATTAAGTACAGACCCGTGTCGAATTGGGCACTAGTGGCGCTAGAGCATGACGGCAGCAGGTGGGGCCAGGATGAGAACCTTGCCTCACGCCGGGTTGCCATCGCCGCTCATTGTATGCGTTATCAAGGGTTTGTATATGTACGTACATACGTACATACTTACGCGCGCGCGCGCGTGTGTGTGTGTGTGTATGTGTGTGTGCACGAACTCAAGGGCCCAGGAACTCTAGGCTGCCTCGGCGGGTAAAGCTTAGTACATTTCGCAAAGCTTAAGGTCAGCAGCCTCTTGGGCTGCATTGGAGTTATATAGTAGTTGCTATGGTCGTGGAGTCGCTTGCTTCGACTGCATGCCGTCACAAATACCGACTGCCTCTGCTCATATACGCCGTGAGGGGCCGTCGCACAGCTTTGGGGCACGAACCTGTACAGCGTCGCAATACTACAGTACTGCATGAGCAGTGTCGCTGCTGGAGGAGACCGTAGGCCGGTGCTGATTTGCGGTTGGTCCAACCTAACGTAATGCGCATGCGTGAAACAGAAGACATGACGTACAGCAGGCGCGGTCCTGGGTTTCGGAGCCGAATGAGGCTGTGGCCAGGGGCATATGCAACCGTGCGGCTAAAGGATCCCAACAGGAACTCCAGAACGGTCAGTGTTAAGTGGTAGAAGCCGCCGAGCGCGGGCAGACGCTAACAGCTTGAAGGATGGACATATTGGCTTCATGCATGCAAGCATGGTGTTGATATATGTAGACGGTGTTGTCGGTGGTGCGTCGTATGTGTTTTTAGCTGGGACCGCTGCAAGGGGGAAAGACCGCGGGTCCACACAGGTGTTCAATTCCCTCTACATCTGTTCTGGATACAGGCGGTCCATTTTATTAGTAAATGCTATGTCTATTGAGCTCTTGCTCTTCTGCTGGTTCTCTAGCTTGGGTGCTGTGTTTCAGCTCCTGTGCTACGGCAGGTGGGAGTCATAAAACTGTCCTTCTTGTCCTTGCTTTCATAATTGCTGTCTGTAGGACTTTGTCGCAGTGGCTACTGCTGCTGCTGCTGCTGCTGTCGCTATTGGTGCTGTTGGCGCCGCAAATCCTTTTGATGAGGGACTCGTCGGAATGGTTTCGTAGCATCAGCAGCAACAGCATCTGCTGTTGCTGTGCCTGCGGCTGCGGCTGCTTCGGCAGGTGTCGATAAGAGGATGGGCTTGCACCATGTTGCTCGACTCGGTTCATCAGGGTTCCAGATGCATGCGGGAGATGCAAGGAGCGCTGCTACGTTATTCGCTAGAGGTCTGCTCGCTTCTCATCATCCACATCTACCGCACTGCACCACATCAAAGCGACCCCATCACGGTATAAGGCCGTGCCGCTCCCATCCCTGACCGGCGCGCTTGGGCCGGAGATAAAGCTCCGGTGCAGTATAGATATAGGCATGCAGCAGCAGCGCGCAACGCATACATACCAGGCGAACTTGAAGTGCTATCCGAGTAGTTGCACCGCCCCCCGGGAGAGCAGCAGGCTTGTCCTGAATGTACGGTGTTTGTATTCCGTGCATTTGGTATCTTGGCCGGAATCATCCCAACATGAAGATTAGCGATTAGGTTGGGTTTATTTTAGTAGTATTAGTACTGCTGATTATGTTATCACTGCTGCTGCTTTACCGGTAGTAGTAGTAGTAGTAGTAGTAGTGTTCACCTTACACCAGTTTTGATTGCTGGGTTGTGTGTGTGAAGGACGGCCCCCATCCAGGGGCGCCTGCGGCACGAGCCTGCTGGGACGGTGCGCATCCTGGGGGAGGGAGAGAAGAACCTGGCCAAGTGGCTTTGTGGAGGTCCCTTGGGAGCTCGCTTCGTGAGGTCCACGGCGTCCCCTCGTTCGCCGTCACGAAACTCTCATACCAGATATACTCGCGTCAGCTCGCATCGAGTCTCAACTTGTAGAAAGCTTATAGTTACACGACGAGAATGGACTTATACACAAATCAGAATACTTAAGGACAACAGGTGTATCATCTTGGGAAAGGCACAAGAGAGTGCGGGTCCGGTATTGCAACAGACTCTTATGCTATTATTCGTCCTGTCGTTCACGTTTTTTACACGCTTGTCGTTGCGACATTGATGCAACTCGTCATTTAGGAAAAAGCTGTGGAAGTCGAATTACTTTGTGGAAAGCTGTTGACCTTGCGAGCTCACCGGCTGCGCACCCACATATATAACTTAAGTTACCTACCGCATTCTCAGGCCTAGTGTTCATTCCACGCGTTTTCCTTTTTGGCTGAGCTGGGTTTTCGCTTTCGTTTCCTTTTCGGCTGGGCTAGGTTTTCGCTATACGTAAACGTCCTGGGGCATTCGAGCTCTCATTAAAGCTTTTAACAACAATAACAATAACGGGTTGCACCGTAGTCCCTTTGAATATTGTGATATACTATCATTATAGGTACCTGCGTACATATCGAATGCACACGATGAATAATCGCTCCAATTCGTGAGTACAAACGTATGCTAAGTTATGTGAACAATCAGCTATTTTTATCCGTGGGCTGTGCGTAGATATGGTTTGCAGGGCAAAGCCACCAGTATGCACGGTTTAATTTTAGGTAGATATTTCATCCTTTGGTCCTAAGGTCTGCATCACCCTAGCTTTCTTAGTTCCATCCCTAAAATTCCGTTTAGACCCCTGTGCTGTGCTTGTCCTTGCTGCCGTCTAATGGCACATTTGGACAGGGATTTGGGCCCGGAAAAGTCGAAGCGTCGATACCTCTCGGAGGAGAAAAATTCTACTACAATCAACCTCTTAATTACAAAATAAGTGAGGAGATTATATAAAGGATAGAAATCTCGATTGGAAGCTATGTGAAGGTCCATGAGCAGTTCTAAGATCACGACGCCCGGCCGCGTACGACAACAACCGTTTTCGCGGGCAGGCAAGCTCCCTGGATCGTTCATGATTTACCCCGAGAGGAGGTACATAAATTGCGAGAGCGAGGCGAGATTTGCATGCAGCCCGGCTGTACTGGTCAATTCTCAACTGCATACCGGTATTCATGGGACCGGTATAGTTTCGTCTTTGATCAAATCTGATTGGGATTCATTTCCCTGTAACGACAAAATCCTTGGCAGTAATCTTTGCAAGTTCTAGACGCAGACCGTAGGAGGCTCAGGAAGCAAGGAATGGCGTCCTGCAATCACATGGAGCGGCTGGCGATACACAGCTTGTACAAAGTCGCTATCCTAGGCTTAATATGTGCAGGTAGGTAATTACTGTGTTTTGTGCTAATTGAGACTTGCTGATGCTTGGGCCTGCGGGTTTTCGTGACACGCGATACCACGTGCTTCGACATCAACACACCGAACAAGCCTCATTTCACTTGAACACCGAACCCGCCGACCTACGGTTGTTTTTTCTCGCAAGCAACCTTGTATTATAAGGACTTCGCTATTCAGTATTTGCGAAGTGGAGGATGTAACTTCAATCGTTGGAACTCATGACCATGTCCTTCCTGACTTCGTGCCCATCCTCCTGTGCCAATACAGTCGTGGTATCCGGGGAGGATGCGGTATCATCGAAGTGGATCAGTCGAAATCTCCTAACCAAGTCTACCTTGAGTAATTACCCGTACTGCAAGTGAGTGTGTTACATGTAGTTGCATGCAACGGGCACTCGCAAACTTTGCAGCAGAGCCGCTGATCATATGTGCATACTGCGCTTTGGCTTGTTATCCGCACAGCTGCACGCGCCACGAAGTGCTTGTTGTATCAGCAGTCGTCGGTGCAGTAGATTATGATTAGCGCACTTAAGACATTTGTCGCGGCGGCCTGTACCATCGGTGCTTGGTTGCTCAACTAATTCACTGCTGGGTGTCGTTATTATTTCGCGGTTGCGAGGAAGGCCAAAATTACAGCGCTCGTCCGAATCGACCTCTTTGCTTGCAGGTGCGAGACGTACAGCTGTCGCAGCTCACCGTACACTATGTCGTATGTAGGCGCGTACCCGGTGAGTGTACTACAGCAGCGATCAGCAGCCATGCGTCTTGCACGCCAACCGTGTTACCTAATCATTTGCAACATCGCATACCAAAATGGGACTCCTTTGGAACGATGGCTCGCTGCTCATTTGCGAATGTGGGTTGCAGGTTGATCACAAGCAGAACTGCAAACCCAGTTTGCAATATTCGTTTGTATCCTGTTTGTGCATTGGATCCGTCGTTTGACTTTGCGCTCTACCTTGCTGTGTTTGCGTTTGCTGCAGGCGGCTGCTGGCACGAAGCACTGCTTCGCGGTTGGGTACGTGGGTTGCACTGCGGCGAACAGCACCTGCTGCGAGGCTCTGAACCGCAACGTGTACAAGATGTCCATCGCGATAGGTGCGTGGATAGCTGCGAAGGTCACGCCAACGTGTCTATGGGGGTGCCGTGTGTGCCATTTGCTGTTTATTCAGGTTGACGACAGTGGGCGGCTGGGCAGGCTCCGAATAAATCAGAATACCTGGCCGCTCGCCACCAAGCGCTCAGCGCTCAGGGGTCCACGTGTGAGGGGCACGGCATGGGGCCGCGTGGGTTCGGGCACATAGCTGTGTAACCTAGAGGACCGTGCACTTGACAAGCTAGCCTGACTTGCATCAGAAGACACACTTCCGAACGAACTACAGTTCGTGTGAGAGCGCGCATATGCATATGAGTGCATGACCGTGTGACGCTTAAGTAAGGCCCTACCGGACGTTTGGTCCTGATGGAAAGCCTAACGACACCTAGCGGCCGTGCTCTTTCCGAAACCTCTGGTTGGGGTGGCTCGAGTGCTGCCACATGTCCAAGCTTTATATGATTTTGTTTGTTCATTCTCTTTGTATCGCATTTACGAGCATAGCACTACGCTGAGAGTGTTCTCTTTCTGCACACACACACACACACGAACACATAATAATCTCTCTTACCATAACACGCGAACACCATGCCATGCGAACTCGCGCAATACCCCTATTTAACGGTGCCGGTGCATGTGTGCGCAAATGCACACGAAGGTGCGAGCTGCGTGAAGCCGGCCATGAGCCAGGTGGAGATCAACGGCCGCTCGTGGCCCACATGGTCCACCGTTTCCAATAAGCGGGGAACTGATGACCAAGGTGAGCGTGATGCACCACAGAAATAGGTCCAGCAGGAGGACTAGCATGGGCATGTCCTAGTGGATCCAGGCTTCGACAGGGAATGGGGACCTGGATATCGACCGGCAAATCAGGATCATTTTGGGCCAGTCCGCCAGGGGATCCTGGCGTGTGTGTCAGGGTGTGCCCGTGAGTGAATGTTTCCAAGTATGGGTGCGCAAGCTCCAGTCGATTCAAGGGCTATGGCGTGTGTGAGGCGTGCAACTGGCTGTTCTGCTAGTGAGCGTATCCGATAGTTGCGTCGCGCCTTTTTCCATCCTGCAGGTGCGGTCGTATACGGGTACGACGTCCGTATCTACAACATGCAATTCAACATGACTACATTCCCCGGGAGCACCGTCTGCATAACCACCACGGAGCCCTGCTCCGGCATCCAACAGCTGTGTGACAGCACCGCAGGGACCTGCAAGTGGGTATGTGTTTATGGCTGGAAGGTCTGCGGTGGGTTGGTCTTATTCTTCGCCTATGATGAGCGGCGCAGGTTGGGGTCATGGGACCGGCATCCTGTGAAATAGAGTGGATGTGTCCATGAATCGAGTGGTGACCATAAAGGTGCAGATGTGCTGACCTCCTCTTTGACTTTGCTGTCTGTTCGCAGGTACGCTGTATTTGACACCCACAACGCCTCCCGATGCTGCCCTGTCTGTCCCATGACGTTCTCAAACCCGCCGTTGTCGCCCGAGCCGCCGTTGTCGCCCGAGCCGCCGCTGTCGCCCGAGCCGCCGCTGCCGCCGCTGTCGCCCGAGCCGCCGCTGCCGCCGCTGTCGCCCGAGCCGCCGCTGCCGCCGCTGTCGCCAGAGCCGCCGCTGCCGCCGCTGTCGCCAGAGCCGCCGCTGCCGCCGCTGTCGCCTGAGCCGCCACTGTCGCCCGAGCCGCCGCTGCCACCCACCCCCATCTGCTCCGTCTGCGTCACCATTACCGTTCGACCCCCACCGACGACTACCGGGTCTACCAATCTCGTGAACTGCAGTCAGATACCGGACCGTGTTATTTCGAACCTCACCGATGCGCTGAATGCAGCCGGGGTGGCCATCCGCGAAGTCTTTGTCAAGCGGAAATGCACCGAGAACTACAACCCCGAAGAACCCAACGAGCCGCAGCTCTTGGTATGCGGCTCATTCGATGTGCCCAACGACCTCGCCGCCTTTCAGGAACTCCTGAGCGGCCTGACGGCAGGCTGGGTTTCATCAGTGGCTGGCGTACCCGTGGTCCCTGGAATTAACAACGATACCAGTTGCCCTACTGGAAAGGAGGGATACGGCTTTGACGGCACTGTGTTTTCTACAGCGGATAGCGCCCAATGCCCTTTTGCTTTCTCTGAAAAAAACTGCACCGAACGATATGCGCCATTTCCATCTCCGCCGTTGCCGCCGCCAGGTTCACCTATTCGATACGTAAAGGTGAGGTGCTTGTGCAGCGCTTCAATATCCTCCAGGTCAACAACTAGCCACCGGCGTCCCTCCCCTTTTTCGTATGGGTCTTACGGCACCTCTCTGCCAAATTTGCACGTGGGGTGCATATGTTAAGGCCTTGCCACCTGGGCAGAGGTGTTTCCTGTTTCTGTGAAGTGAAGTGGATCATCAAGCATAAAATAATAAAACCTTGCAACCCCGGCATCCATCAATATCATTTCCAGCTAAAGCTAACTCAACGATTCCCCATGTATGCCTGCTTTCAATCCGCAGACGCACAATTGTTCCCAAGCAGCCTCCCAGGTGCCGTACCTTCTCACCCCGGTCGAGTCATACAACACTACTTACGGGCGCGGTGAGCAGGTGGTTGCTATGTGTACGACGTTACAGAATGCTGGAATGACCTGTGGCCGCAAGTCCAGGTGTTGCGGAATGGACGCTGCTAAGGTGAGCATTTACAGACCGGCTGATGCGGATGCGCTGTGGTCATTACAACACCAATGCCGTTACACATTGGAGTCTTGCTTTAGTTGGCTAATCATGATTACTAGACGGTCATGTAGGCATTGGGAAGGTACCTTTAGAAACGTCATACGTCGTTCGTTCACACAGACGCCTCAGCTCGTACGTGCGCCCCTTATAGCTAGTAGCTATCTCGACACGCATTGCTGTACCATCAGGTCATGAAGTGCAGTGCTGTACATCGCCCGCGACTTCCGTCTGGTGCACACAACCCCGCAACCCTGGCATCTAAGCAACTTCCCGGGGCCCCCTGCAGGTCGAGGTCATCATGAAGCCCTCCTGCCAGGGCGCCCTCCGTAGCATCACCGTCAACGGAAAGGAAATTGCTTACAGCCGAAGCTTCTACCCGGACTTTACATCGCTCAAGTTTGTGAAGCTGCCGACGTGAGTGGTTTTCTCCGCTTTTTTGGGGGGGAGAGATGTTGGATAAACGTTTTAGTAAGCCGCCACACCACATCGCGGCGGAAGTCTCCCCCACCTTGCCGAACATAGATATGGAACTGCTGCCGCGCAAGTGGTGCAGGCTGGGGGCAGCGGGTTATATTCCGCATTAATAGGTCATGCCAGTCACAACGGCATCAACTGCCACGACGGTTGGGGCTTGGGGGTCTGGGACCGACGGACTTTCAAAAGCTTTCACGTCCGGACTCAAAGATCGATTCTCCTTTCACAACCAACAGCTTAAAGCTCACTGACGCGTCCCTACGCTGCTGGTCCCGCGCGCTCAGCTAACGCATCTGCCTCCTAAACCTCCCCGCCTTCCTATGCGCATGCTGACCTGCCGGCGGTGGTGTCGCGCAACAGGTTGGGCGACCCCGATGGAATGCGACTCTGCTGGTGAGAACCTGTCTTTGAACGCCATAAGTACCTGTCAGGTTCATCTGTTTGCCTGCTGGTCTGCCCAGCTGGGCGACCGCAACGTGACGTGACGCTGCACAGAATCCGCTAGGCCTGGCCAGCACGCACTCAACACCTCTCGTAGCGATAGAGTACTGTGTCATTACATTGCGGCCCCCGAAGTTAGTACCTCACTAACAGTGCGTGGGTGTACGCATCCATGCATTACTGCTGGCTGTAGCAGTAATCGCGGTCCCTGCAGCACTGATTGGGCTCTGATGCATGTCTTGTGCGGTGGGTGCGGCGGCGGGTATGTTCCCTGCGCCTGCCCTGCCTGCCTGCCTGCCTGCAAAATATCCTGCTTACGCCCCTTAACACCTTGCGTATCAAGTGCACCACGAACTATATGATATACAGGTACGCGTCGCCTGGTCCATGCGGCACCCCTAGAGGATTTTGCTACAATGGACGGTGCCAGGTACGTAGGAGGGCCGGCAGGTGGCTGGGTGAACATGTAAGTACGCACTGGGAAGCGGCACTACTGCCTCTTTTGCAGACATTTTGATGTGCTCTCCCTCTCTCTCTCTCTCTATGACGATCCCCGAACCAACCAATCGCAAACCTATTCCTTAACCCCGCCTCACCCATCCCCGAATGTAATAACCCGACTGCCGTCACGCAGGCGAGCATCTTTTCGCTGGACAACAAATGTTGCCCTACTTTTATCATTTAAGGAGGGGGCTTCGGTCGTGCATGGTTACTAGTCATCAATTTGTTTAAGCAGTGACCTCATTAGTTGTGGTGAGTCATGGTATGAGTTATGCAAAGTAGTATTTTATAGTAATGAATGTACAGACAGGCAGAGCACGTCATAGCAGGTTATCATACCAGGATGCAGCAGCTGCTTTGTCAGGTGATCGCGTTGGTGGTGGCAATGATTCGGTGGATTGTATGTGTATCTTTTTGGAAAGTTCATTGCTAGAAGAATTTTATATATTTCTATAAAAATGTCAGATGGTACACAGCAGGCAGCAAGGTTGGGTTGGGCCGCGTGTGGCCCCATGGTTTCGTTGCATCTTTTTTGCTTGGAAAATCCAGCTTATCGTGATGGCTGCTGAAGCTGTCTTGAGGATGGTAATTGGCTGTCGCTGTCATAGAGAATAACATATGTGTTATGTATTGTACGGCAGCTGCACAGGCTGTTCCATGCTTGTTATGCCTGCGCGACTTATCTATTAATAGAAGAGTCGTGGATCCGGTTCGCAACAGGACTGGTATGCAATGATGTTGTTGGTTTAGCAGGTTTGTCAGATGAGTCGGCGTGAGTTGTAATTTCCAGCTGTGTTGAAAAAGTTTATGGGCAAGCTAGGTCTCACACTACATTGATCTTGCTTCTTTGCGCTCCAGCAGAGAAAATAATGATAGAGTAGCTAGCTAGCTGGCAGAACGGACGACCGCAGAGCTTAGATGGTGGATGGCAGGGATTGTGACAATATGATCTATCTATCTATCCATCTATCTATCTTTTTCTCTATCTTCCTATGTATAATTCTATTAATCTATCCGAGGTCCAGGCCCTCACCTCAATCGGTGCAGAACGTTGTTGAATTTCTGTAATACCCTCATTCACTCCCGTGGCGGCGAGGTGAGGGGAGTGGTGTGTCGCCTCCCGTATGCATGTGGAGGGGGAGAGAGAGGATTTGTAAGCGATGACTGACGACTGGAACGTGCCTTTTTCAATGCATGTTACCTACTACTCTCTGTGGCGCATTGCCGACGATAGACAGCAGCGATGGTTATCCGTACAGGTCCGATCCCGTGCCGTACAGCAGGTTACAAAGGCCAGCTGTTGAACTACCATAATCATGTGATGCTTCCCATTCGAGTAAGCTTCCCTCATAGATATATGAGTATGCTACATATGAGTACACTACTTCCTTCGTAGGCTATCTTCATGGACTCCTTTGACCTTTCGTCTAGAGTGACACTTGCGGATATTTCTCTGGTATTGACATTCCTATCCCGTCTAGTCGCATGTGTCGTAGGTAACTACTTCCTGGGAGCGCAATTCTCAGGCAGGCGGCCCTTGATCGCACCAAGCTTCTACTGCGTTCCCCACCTTGCCCGCCATCTAAAGCTTGTCAGGAGAGTTACCTGCTGCCCTCGCAAGTCAACCTATCTCACCGCGTCTCTCATACAGTAAACGGAGACATCTGGCTTTACGAGGCACCTCCAGAAGGCCAATGTTACCCAGCAGACCTCAACCTCGCCACTTAATGGCTGATTCTGTGTTACTGTTTCCCTTAACTGGTTCTGGTGGCGGAGGATTGGCTGACCCGACGGTGCTGAACGGTGCGATTAGGACGATTTGTTGGCGAGAATTGCACCGCTGCCAAGGGCCTTACACAGCGTGCTGCCTCAGTCTGTCACCATGCTGAGGGGGGGAGGGCGCCTCTCAGGAGTCCGCCGACGCCAGGCCGAGCCAAACAGTGCTGCATCTGGGGCAAGACTGGGGGTAGCGGAAAGAGGAAGCAAGGGGCTGACAGGGACAGGGCGGGCGGGGGGCAAGTACAGCCTGTCGCACTGACAATTGGACAAGGCTGTATGCTCTTCTGCGTGAAGGCAGAATGACTTCACCAGGAGAGCAGCGAGAATTAGTCGCCACTGCGAACCAGTTGTACGACAGTACCACAGAACCAGCCTTAGAAGCTCCGGTCGCTTCGCTCCGTCGCGTTTAAGCCAACAAGTCTACCCGCCAAGGTTGTCAAGTAGCCCGCCTGCAGACCAATCTTTGACGTGTAAGCCAATTTTTATGAGCCTGCCCTTTTCGCGCCAACATTGATGTGTATTGCGGGCTTGCGTTGCGGAAGCCGGGTTAGTTGGCGTAAGGCCCATGGGCGATGCAAGCTTTTCGGTTGCTTCGCCACGGCCCGTGTCCTCAGGGCCGTATAAATAGCGCGCATGGGTTCCGTTCTATATCTTGCTTTTGTTATTCAGCGCGCGCCCGCCCGCCCGTCCCTGTTTGCGTCCGACTCGGCGACGCCCGCGTCGTTGCTCGTGGTATTTTTTCTTTGGTTAGTCGCTTCAGATTAGTCCTCCATAGCACAGCAGCATTCCTGTAACAGAAATGGCAATCTCTTTTGGAGCAACAACTAAGTATTAATTTTCCAATTTACTGCAGCATTTCCGTAGCTGAGATTTGCTTTACCTTTGAGCTTTTTACTTAAAAACGTTTGCTATTTGCTTACGAAGTTGGTCCCCGGTTCCGTGCTTTAGCGGTACCGGCATCGTACGTCGTGTACCGTACATGGGACTCACACGAGAGGCACGCGTTCTTCGCGTTGAGACAAGTGTTCCCTTACACAGCTTCAATTCTGTGTACGTAGGGATCACGTTATCGAGGCATTAATGCTATCTCAGCCGTAGCGTCATATAAAAGCCTTAGGATGCCCAGGATAATTGATAACGTGGCAGTAACAATTATCGTGCGCATGCGGTACCATGTTTGAGCCATAAGCTTTCCGTTCTGGTCGGCGTCGTCCGGCCTTCCCAAGAGAAAGAAGGGGAACATGGTTGTACTGGCTGACTTATGGCATAAACGCGGAAGCAAGCCCACGAACAAGGGACTAGCTACACGCACTTCGTGTAACTTCGACCGTCAAACAACGCGGGGCCTGATTGGATTGCTGCTGCGTAGCAATAGCGCGCAGCGTGTGTCACATGTCTAAGCATCGTAAGCTCTCAGTTGTGTAGCTCGCGACGCAAATGTTAATGCGAGGCAGACTTACGCATGTAGCAGCAAGCGGCAACAGCCAGCTGTCCAAACGCAGCTAAGTGAGGAATGGGGTTGCGAGGCGTGCGTCGATTTCCGACAAAAAGTGTGCCATTTATGGTTGATGGGGGTTCCTCGCTTAGGGCATCATGTCTCCAATCAAAAAATTAATATCAGAATACATGAGTGGGCAATCACTTTAAATGGGCGCCGAGGGTTCGTGATCGCGATTATTCCCGCTCACGCACGAAATCAAATGTTTCGGCGAACGGGTGAGCTCCCTGGATCGTCGACAGCAATTTCATTTGGAGGGATAGTGCAAATTGCGTAATAGTGTAATTTTCATCGAAGGTTCTGACGCGCGTGGACTTTGTAAGCTGACGCATCAGAGCCATTACATGATTTTCATCTTGGTTGACTGTATGAGACAGCAATACAAGCTCAAGAGGCGCTTCTTTATTTCGAAATTGTGGTGAGATCAAGGAAATATATCACTAGGGACGTCAGAAGCTTACTATCAGCCATGGCGCACTTGCACATGGCACGCCTAGTATGGTACAGTGTCTTCAGAGTAACTATCTTTCATCTAATCTGCTCAGGTATGGCTGTAATCCATGTAATGAATGCACCTCACATGATGTGGCTGGATGGTTTCTGCTGCGCGGGGTCCCATGACATCTTTCCATGGAAATTTTGGGTTGCAAACTTTTCATGCTTTAGCCTTTTGCGATCATCATTTCACATTTGCTCTGATAATTTCTTCAAGGTTATATTCTATCCATACATTTGTGCAAGCCGCAACACTGTGCCTTACTTATTGGGGTTTCGGAGGCTTATTGCACATAGGTAGTTCGATAACAGGTTGGCCCTATTGATGGTTTGTACATTATCCCTGCAGCCTTTGCTTCTGAGGAGCGCGTGATTTCTGTGCACACGGGCAGCAGCAGTCGACTTTTGCAGGGGGCCACTACCCGTGGGCAAATTGATTTCCCTTATTGCAGGCGAGTATGTTGCAGCTGGTTATCACCGTCTGGGAAGCAGCTTTTGCAACAGCTGTGATGTAAGGCCAGGTAGTCTTAAAGGAGAGGCTTTTTCTGTAGCCGCACTTCTTGCTTGGCAACCGAGTGCATCTCTTCGCCTCACACCACGCCACACCGCGCTCGATAAGGATGTTCACGCAAGATTTGTTACCTTCGCGCGAATCATGATGCCTTGCAGACACCTTCATGTCAGCTGTTTCATTGTTTCTGTTATAGTTTTGGGGCTGCTGCTGAATCCCTAATTCTAACTCCGCTGCACGCATTACTGTTTTGCTTGTCAAATCAACACCACTGTGAATGTCATGAATGGATTTCCCTGCTTTCTCTTTATCAGGTGTGAGACTTACAGCTGTCGCTGCTCGCCGTACGGTATAACATATCTGGGTGCATCGGAAGTGAGTACCTCTAAAGCGTGCGTTGCTGCTACAATGCTCTTGCCTGCGTACCTACATTCATTGATACCGCAGCTGGAATAACGGGCACACGCGGCTTCCAGATGATGCTACGTGGTGGTCCGCGTATACGCTGAAACCATGAAACATGCACAAGGCGCGTCCCTCGCTTACACATTGGGTGTGCTCTCTTGCCATACTTTCGCGCATTTGTGTGCACCTGAAGGTTACTACGGCAGCGGCAGCTGCTGGCACGAAGCACTGCTTCGCGGTTGGGTACGTGGGTTGCGCTGCGGCGAACAACACCTGCTGCGAGGCTCTGAACCGCAACGTGTACAAGATGTCCATCGCGATAGGTGCGGTAACTGGTTACAAACGTGGTTGTGCATGCAGGCTGGCTTGGTGATAGGCGGGCAGATGCTGACTTCAGTTGCAACGGTTGGTTCAGAAGGGCTCCCCCGCAGGAACAGCGGATCACTGCTCGATGGGCCTTTATAAGCTGCATTGTCGGCATGCGCACTGCAAAAAGTTACTTGTCCTTGATGTCCGCTAGCTGACACACATCTTCTGGATGATGATGTCCCGCCTTGCACACCGGTGTATGTACGTGCCCTCACGCGGCTTTTACAGATGGAGCTTGTTTAGGATAACAAACTAAAGTCAATCACAGACATAACGCATGCTTCAGTCGTGGTTGAACTCCTAGGCGTGGTTCACGCGCACCTGCGGACGAAGCTGGCACCTGTACGCGTGCAGGCGCAGGATGTACGAAGCCCGTCATGAGTAGTGTGGAGGTCAATAGCCGCAAGTGGCTGAGCTGGACTACGTCGGCCACCGAGCGGGGAACGGATGCAAACGGTACGCGGCCCTTCCAATCGGCGGTATGAAGCTTAGGTATGCATGCATATGGATTCTTACGAACATGGACAAGGCTTGGACGGAATCCTGGATGGATCGAATGTGTGTTACAGCGGACAAATTGCATATATGCGTACGCATATATCTGCTGTATATCTGCCTGAAGTGATTGTGGCCATTGAGACGGAGACATGAAAATAACAGTTTCGTACTCATGTCCTGCAGGTACGGTCGTATTCGGGTACGACGTCCGTATCTACAACATGCAATTCAACATGACTACATTCCCCGGGAGCACCGTCTGCATAACCACCACGGAGCCCTGCTCCGGCATCCAACAGCTGTGTGACAGCACCGCAGGGACCTGCAAGTGAGTACGTGCGTATTGTGTCTTTAGCAACATAGTAGTGCTGCTGTCGCTATCGTTGCCTCGTCGACTGGCAGCTTGGCAAGGATGTGTTCCCTTGTGTCGACGTGTCAACGATTTGGCCACAGCAGGATTACTGCAAGAACCTGTGATACCTCATGCCTGTGGAGAATTCGCGGGGATTTAACCAAGCAGAAGCCGCGTCCCTGGCCCGCATTACTGAGCATGCTGATGCCTTCATCTGTAATGCTCCCTGCAGGGTCGCATTTTTCGACACCCACGACGCGTCGCGGTACTGCCCTGTCTGTCCGGTCTCAATGCTTCAGCCACCACCATCACCACTTTCACCCCAGGTGCCACTGGCGCCCGAACAGCCGTCACTACCCCAGCCACCATCTCCTGCCCCACTCTCTCCATTTCCATCCCCACCGCACCCACCGGGCCCCCAACCCATCTGCTCTGTCTGCGTCGTCATTACCATTACACCTCCATTGAACCTCACTGCTCCTCTCTACACCTTCTCCAGCCCCATAAATTGCAGTCAGACATCGAGCCTCATCATCTCCAGTTTCAGCGCTGCGCTAGTGGCTTCTGGGGTTCGCATTCGTGAACCCCTTGCATTATGGAAATGTTCTGGTAATTACAACGCCAGCAGATCCCCCCCAACCCTACCACAGCTCTTCGTGTGCGGCGCATTCGATATGCCTGCTGACACCCCGGCCATGGAGAACGTCATTAGCGAGTTGACGTCGCGTTGGGTTGCTTCTGTAATGGGAACACCTGCGGTTCCCGGAATGGGCAACACTGCAGAATGTCCGGTGGGACTAGAAGGCTACAATTTCATAGGGTGGGTTGAGACAGATGATGTGCGTTGCCCAGGGGCCTATTCGGAGAAGAAATGCGATGAGCGTTTCAGGCCATTCCCGCCATCACCATTGCCACCGTGGATGCCGCCGTCGCGACCACCACCATCCCTAGTTAAGGTGGGTTGAGCGGCACCGTAATCCACTGCAGACGAAGCATATGACAATGACAATGAGCGCCACTTTTTTCCTCACCTCTTCACCGGATGTTTGGAGGATAAGGCGAAAGAACAAAAGGAGGCTGGGTTATGCTTCTTCGGGGTATCTTGCTGATGTCGTACAGTTTACGGGTACCGCTGTGATGGCATTCCCGCTACAGTCCTGGTTTCGCCGTCTCTCCCCATTACCGCATTACGTGTAGAGGCAGATCCGGGTGCATACACCCCCCAATGCAGCTGCTCTCCTTCTTGACTTGCATCGTGTATCTCAGCCTCGTGCAATCTCAGCCTCGTGATGCTGCCACACCGGCCCCATTTGGACCGTGCCTCCTATTGCAACTGTTATCCAACCGCAGACACATAACTGCTCCCAGGCAACCGCTCAGACGCCTTTCTTCCTGAACAAGGTTGAGTCAATTATCACCACGGACGACAGGAGCGGCAGACAGCTAGTTGCCATGTGTACAGCAATCGGAGCGAAGGACTGCAACCTTACATCCAGGTGCTGTGGTATGGATGCGGCCAAGGTGCGAGACGGCGCAGTCGTATTCACACCGCGCCGCGGCTATTAAATGTCCAGGTTTGAATCACTGCGTCACTGTAACTACATCTATAAAACTGGCCATCAAGCAGGTTAACAATCAAGATGCTCGTCCACTTGACGCGCATGAGAATTCCAACCCCTCCAATTATGCGGCGGATAAACCCCTGCAGGTCGAGGTCATCATGAAGCCCTCGTGCCAGGGCGCCCTCCGTAGCATCACCGTCAACGGAAAGGAAATTGCTTACAGCCGAAGCTTCTACCCGGACTTTACATCGCTCAAGTTTGTGAAGCTGCCGACGTGAGTGCCGGGGGGTGCTTTGGGCTGCAGTGGCTGTTCGGGTCGGGTGCCCAAGCATGTGGACTAGTTTACAACGAAAAATCTGCAAATGTAAGACGTGACGTCACCATTGTCATCCGTGTCAACTTAGCGCGAATAGCACGCAATGTGTTTTTAGCGTCCGTCTAGGATAGTGGGGTAACCCGCGTGCTTTGTTGTACTGTACGGCATATCCAGCACAATCCCCTTCCAGTTAAATTCACGGACGTGAGCACCGCAGCAGCCCGTGCAGTAATGCCGCCCTTGTCCCTTTCCACTCCCTTCCCACGGGCGCCTCGGATGTTGACCTACCTTGTTATCGTGCACCAGCTTGGGCGACCCCATGGAAATGCGGCTCTGCTGGTAAGGGGCTGTCTTGAACGTGAATCCTTGTGTGCGGCACGAATTGTAGCAGCTCATGCACCGTGCAGCATACATATCGTCCATAAGCAGCGCTAAGGCGCTCTATGACAGCATCTCCAGAGGCCTCAATCCCAGCAGCCAGCTACTCCGCAAATGCGCCACCAGGAACCCAGCAGCCCTAGGTAACCCGCGCAAGGCAGAGGAGCTAACATGGCAACACATGGGGGCCAGAACAGTCCATATCAGGATGCCCAAGCATGTGACCTGGTCTGTAATAATGAGTGTGAGATTGTTGTTCTATTCATTGTTTGTGTGCATGTGTGACAGGGTACGGTATGGTAATCCGTGCTCAAGTGTTTGGCGGGTCATTTCACGTGGTAATATGTAAGAATGGATTTGCCTGTTCAATCGTGCTGCCCGAACGAAGCCGGTCCTGACCGTCATGCGCCACCATGGGACAGGCTATCCTCATCCTCTGCATCTTGCTGCTGCATGCTGCCGCCGACTTGCCTACCTGCAACATGTATACAGGTACGTGTTGCCTGGGCCATGCAGCACCCCTGAAGGCTTTTGCTACAATGGACGGTGCCAGGTACGTAGGAGGGCTGCCAGGTGGCTGGGTGAACATGTAAGTACGCACTGGGAAGCGGCACTGTACATTGTAGCTGACAAATTTTGATGTGCTCTGGCCATGTTTAGTTTGCTGGGTACGTACAAAATAGACTGAATTACTGCTTAGTCTGTGCCTCTGATAAAGGTGACTTGGATACGATGGTATCGAATTGGCACGGACTGGTTTACTACCGGGTTTACTACCGGGCTGTAACTTGGAAGCGGTTCCGCCACTAGCTGGTGGGGATTGTGCAGTCATGTAGCGTTGTCCGAGGCCAATGTTCTACCTGATGATGACACGTCTGCATTATGGGGTGTGCCCCCCAGATGCACCGGACACCATTTTTGTTTTATTTTGAGCGTGTCGCATGCCATGTGGGTTGCAACAATTCCGTAAAGGCCGTTTGAGAAGTCGACTAAACTCCGGAACCTCCCCTGCCCCTTCCCCGGCCACACGTGACACGCAGGCAAGCATCTTTTCGTCAAATAACAAGTGCTGCCCGACCTATCTGGTTTGAATGATAGGAAACTCCGGCGGCCCCTGTGTTCACATGCTACTGGGGCAACAGCAGCCACACACGTGCATTATCGAGTCACAGGCAGCGTTGCAGGCAGGGCAGGCATAGCAGCAAATAGTTTAGCATGGCAGGCGGAATTTTTGGTCAGGCACTAATACAGAGCTGATGAGCAGATGAGAAGGCCGGCAAGGCAGGTCCTTGGCATAACTACTTGCTGAAGAGCAAGCACCCTTGCAACCACAGCATACTTCTGGCAGGCGTCCATGTATGCATGTGCTGGAATACATTAGTGTAGAGCCCTGTGATCATCCAACCCTTTGTTTGGTCGTACATGCAGGCAGGGGCTTACGTATGGGAATACAAAGCCCCAGCTTAGGGGCGAAAGAGCATGTCATGAATGCCTAACATTGCGCCAAGCGAAGAGTCTTTAGGTCAGTCGTGCATGGGCGTTTACATACCTCTTTGGCATGCAGCGTGACCTAGCCTAGAATTCGGTAACGGCACATATCGGTACATGTTCTTGACAAACTGGCGGAAGTGCCTGAGACGATGGCAGTTGGGCATTCAGCCCAACATTCATTGATTGTGGGGTCGGCAAGCGATATGCTGTTCGTTTGGATAGGGGATCTGTTTGGTGCAGGATGGTGTTCTACTGCTAATCGTACCCAAGGAAATTCGGGGTTTGTCCGGTGCTTTTGGTGATATATGAAGGAACCTTTTTCAACAGCGGCGGATACTTTTGGCAGGTAGCGCATGATACTTTTCATTCTGCATACCTTTACTGACAAAAACAATTTAGTAATATCCTGTAATGTGGTAATACGGCCATAGGGAATTTTAAGACTAAAACTCTCTCCCTATTTCACCGAGCCGATGAAATTTTGCACTTTTATGTCACAGATTGACCATTTCGCAAATCAATGTTTGCCGTTGAATAGTGCAGATGAAGGGAGCTCAGTGCTAACGGAGGTGGCGGCTGAGTACCATCAAGTACCCTACCTCTAAACCTTAGATTTTCCTTTCATTATCTCAGCGCCATAGTACTTCACAATCCTTTTTTGATCGTAGCTGATTAAGCATCCTGCGCCTTCAGATCCTAATCGTGATAAAACTGCTGGTCCGCAAATGCGGCCGAAGCTTCAATACTCAGATTCCCTAAGTCGTCGGTCCCCTATCTGCTGTATGCCTTTGATCAGTCACAAGAAAATAATACACGTCGGACAATTCTAATCCTAAACCCTATAAACAGATATGCGGCTTAAGCGCATCGATTTAGCCGGTTGAAACCTGAGTTGGGGTGGTGGTCTTCGTAACTGTATACAGTAGCGTGCGCAAGGGCCCTGTAGCACCCTGCAGCGCTGTAGGCAGGTAAAAACTTTGCATTAATAAGGAGCATCAGAGCAATAGGTTAACCTTTTGTTTTGTCAGGAGGTCCGCAAGCAAAGTGCTACGTTCGCATACTCCCGTTGCAATCGGCATCTGCATACCTTAATGCCCGTTCGCGGCGTAACACACGGATTGCTGTCTTGCGAGCTTCCTAAATCATTACCATTATGAGCCGACTTCAAGAACCTTGCATAAGGTGTAAAGTGTGTAGTGCATGTTGCAGGTGTTGACTGTTCTCGTCCCATGTGTAACCGAGCTGCGTTGCTACTTCCCGCACATCGTACACCCGTTGAAGGTGACGGGTGGCCTCGTACTCTTAATACGCATGTGCGTATATAATATGCATAATATATTTCCTGCAGACATTTAACAGACGTTCAATATCAGTTTGGCATATAACTCCCAAAGTCAACATTCCAGCGCTGGATCCTTCCTAAGCTCAACTGCCATTGCGAGCACGCTCTTATCCTTGATCGTTACGTCCATTTGAAGCTGGCAACAATGTCTGCTACGCGGCGAACCCCTAATGTAATTTCAATCCTTTTACAGCTCGCAGTGTACCTCACAGGTACGATGACTCAAATCTCATACAAGTAGTTTGGTCTTGGAAGATTTCCATATTTCTTGAAGTATTGGAATGTGGGCTCCCTCCTTCCTCCGCACTGCGGAATTGGATACACCAGGCCTGTTAGCCCAATCCTCTCACCTTCTTAATATGTAATCCATGCGATTCTCTTTCTATTGCAGTTGCAAATGTTGGCGGCTTACCATGCGTTGCTTCGTCGCGGACTTTGTTTCGCGGAGGACTGCTGGGAGGTGACTCCAGTGCATCTTCCAAGTGAGTCACAAGCCTACAAATAAAATTGCAGGACGAATACGTCCATTAATCAACACTACATAAGCGAATAGGGTGGCCGCTTCCTCAGCGATGAGGAAGGACGTATGTAAGCGACTTCTGAAGCACGTTACGGATAGGCTTAACTATTAATATATTAGGGGATGACCTTGTCTGCAAAACAGCAGGACATATTAGTCCGGCTTCCCAGTGCTGAGAATGGTGCCCTGCTATTTGCGTTATGTCCTCACTAATTACGCGTCTCATCGCCTATACCTGCAGGCTTGCTGCAGAGGTCAAGTCGTCTGACAGCTACAGTGGCACAGCTTCCACGTTTGAGATTCCGGTGCTTGGATCCCATCGCCGGGCCAGGCTGTTGGCTTCAGTGCCTGCCGCCACGGCCGCCAGCCGCACCGCCTCGCAGCCGCCTGCCAAGCGCCCGGTGTCCTCCCCGCGCCTCCGGCCGCCATCACCACGCCGCATGCCCTCCCCTCCCGTCAGTAAGCCATCCCCGCCATCCCCACAAGTCTCGTCGCCGCCGCCGCCATCGCCATCATCCTTCAGTTCAAAGTCCTCAGACATGCCGGTAGAGCTTCCCAGCCAAGTTTGCGCGGCTATCAACCTGATTTCACCCCGTGACCAATCCGGGGCCCTGACCTACACGTTTGGAAAGCAGGTCAGCTGCGATGGCGCCGCTGAATGGATGGCGAAGAACCTGACGGACGCAGCCCAGCAGGCTGGTGCCCAGATCTCCACTCCCTTCGCGCTGGAAAGCTGCAGTGCCACCTACGATCCCAACGTCAAGCCACCCGCGGTGCCGTACGTCATGGCGTGCGGCTCGTTTGCCAACGTAAAGGAAGCCGCCAAGATTCAGGACCTGTTGAGTCCCATTCTGGTGCAGTGGTCGTACCTTGTTCTCGGCCGTAAGGTGCCCGAGGGGGCAGGCTCGCTGCCGTACATGTGCCCACCACTAGGGTACACCATCCAAACTATGGTGTGGGGCACAGAGGACGAGTCACCGGTTGCTTTCTCGGAAGTGCAGTGCTCGTCGTCTCGAGGTGCCCTCTAAAGGATATGAGGCGGCACAAGAACGTGCGTAGTCATGGAATCATCCAGTCCATCCCTGTGCATGTATTCGTTGGGGCGACGACGAGCAGTAGTGCTACTAGAATACACAAATAGAGATTCCTGGCATCATGATGCAGAAGGAAAGCCCGCGGCCATGGCAAGGTTTTTCCGGGGTAGCTCGGCTTCCTCCTATCTGGGAAGAGTTGCAGGATGGCCAGGTTAATGTATATGGGGGTAATGTTCTCTTTAGCTTAAGGCGGTCTTGGCTGGCAACATGCTGATGCGGAAATCCCATAGATCACACGGCGCTATTACGCCGTTTTAGACCATTGATTGATTTCGTTATCGTGACTATGTGTGCGGCTCTGCGTTGCAAGAAAGGGATCCGGGGACGTCGCTGCTTGCTGTGCAGATTATTTACGCACTCGCATGCCAGTGCTTCCGGTGACTTGCGCCTGACGCAAATGTGTATGTGTGCGAAGAAGGTAGCTTTGCGTGCATCCATGAAATGTGATTTTGCTTGCATGCGCTGTCTTTTGAAGAGGTTTTGGTTAATTGCATTTAGCAATCACAAACCACGCAAGGCATTGCGTAGCACTCAATCATTCACAAGTATGGCTGTGCGTTTGTGGTTTTTTACTTCCTCACCAACTTTAGAGAACGATTTAAGCTCTAGCCCGGTGTATATAGTGCCGATCTGCCTATTAGCAGATAGACCTAGACATTTTCGGCGTAGTGGACTGGGGCAGCCCCCTACTGGCTGGGGCAGCCCCTTGCTGACCGGGGCAGCTCACCGCCGTACTAGATGCCTAGTCCTGTGGTGGACTGCGGTAGCACATGAGTTGAAATTGCCGGCGCATGTGCTGGCGAGATGTGTAGCCTTGGTGCAGGTGCGCTTGATAGCATATGACTCGTGGAGCCCTGAGCATTCTCGGGCACCGCTTAACCGTTTTGCTTTATTACTTTGTAACCGCAACATGGCTCACTTGCATCGCGCAAAAGCTATTTATCCTTGCGCCAAACTCCAACCAGCGGGGCATACATACGTCTCTAGGAGTTATGCTTTCACATCGCTTGGGCTACTGTAGGCTCCAAGAGTGTTTAGAAATATAAGTGACCCAGGCGATTGAAACCTAGACCAGCTGCTTAGCGGTTGGTCGAAGAGTGTGTGGTTGCGATTGCCGGTTTGGACCGATAAGTTCTACTTTGAGCCATTTACTGGTCCAAAGTGGAAAAACAGATGTGTAGTGCTCGCAGGATCGATAATTAGTTCGCATCGCCCTGACCACAGGCCGCTGGGTTGGCACAGGTTACCTGGGTTGTTTTGCGTGCTAAGGATATTTGTTGGGCCTTTGTATTTTTAAAATGATCTGATTGCTGTGCTTTATATTTCCGGATCCACTGTGACAAAGATCATTCATACATTGACGCACGATACCATTACCATTTTGTTCTCGGAACAGTCTTGGGCCTTCCAAGGCAGAGTGTATGAAGCGCTGTGCACCTGGGCATCGCCACATGGTGGCCGAACGAAAGCGAAAGTTTAGCGATCGCTCAGTAAGTAGCCCTAACAGATAGCATGGAATCAGGGTTGATGAAGCCAAAAGCTTGAAGGCAACCAGCGATAAGGTCATAACGTAAAAAAAGCATAAAGCCACTGCACATCATGCTGACTGTAAGCACACGGTTACCATTTTTATAACCGGATGTGTATGCGCTGTTAACATCTGCCACTACGAGCAGTGGCTCGCTTGCTTTCTAGAATGGCACGGCACACTGATGTACAGCTTTTGGATATCAGGAGATGTAAATTGAACAACTCTAATTTATGATGGCTAACTGTTTTGCTGATTGGCCACTATGTTGTAGCCGCCCGCCTGCTACTCACTTTCCCGACTACGCCCCACGCACTTAGGCTTCCCTACCGCAGTACGTCTGTTTACCAGTGCAATGTAACTGTGATATGTTTGACTTTTCGCTTAATTACGAGTTCACTTGAAGTAAGCGTGGATTTCAGCAATGCGTTGCGGCTGCTAAGCTGCCGGACACCGTACGGCTCGCTTTTCACCCTACATAGTCTGATGGCTTACTTCAAGACCATTTAAATCAATTTTAAGCACTATTGCTTAGCGTAATCATAGTAAACATTTAGCTTTACAGACTGGAAACTATAAAAAAAGCCCAACCGCTACAAAAAAATTATCGGAGTGTCGGAAAGGCCGCCCAAGTTCCTGAGGCCAAGTCGTCCCAGAAAAACTGGTTCCTTATTGAAACGACATAGTCCACACGGAGAATGTGTTCTCTGAAGGCCGCGCACACCTCAAATTGCCGTCGGTTGACGCTTCTTTCTTTATCAGGTATGCTGAAAGCTCGTGATGAATTTAATTTAATGCGCGAATGATGATTACATCCGATAGGCGCGCACAAGACGCGCTCAATCCAGGAATAAAGCTTCTGGCTTTGGCCTTCCGTCCGAATCCCCCGCAGCGCTGCTTGACATTGCCACGGAATGAATGCTCATACTCTGTTGAACTTCACTGCAACGCATAATTTTTGTCACGCAGTTTTTTTGCTAGCGGAATATAAGCACATCGTCTCCGCACGCATCATCTCCCTTCGTGGGGGCCAAGAGTTGAGGACGTCCCTAACCGGGTGCGTCGCATAGGTCCTGAATTATCGGAACCGCTATAAGGAGCCATGTCGGGGGACTCGTTATGATGAGATGGCAAAGCCTTAGTCATGCCTACTACCTATCTTTTCGATACTCGGACTGGTTGGAGACGTTGTCGCCTGGAGGCTGGATTAGCCCTAAGACGTTGGGAACGGACCTGTAACCTTTTGGCTTCGTTATGTCTGTTACATTTATCACCGACAATGGCCCATTTCAAAAGATGGGCTGGGGCTATTTTATATATAGTCTCGACCTTTGCTCCCTGGGCGGGTGTCCTGTGAGCCGCCTTCAGCCCTTCAGCAAGTGGCCCTGCTTCGCCCATCTTGCTCTGTACCCAACTTGCACAGGCTTACCACGAGCGATTGCGGTTGCTCGCCCTACAGCCTCGGCTTTGCTAGCTTTGAAAAGGTATGCATCGTACGATATTGTTTTTGTTGAACGGCCAGGTCTCGGTCAAATCCAGTTAGGTAACGCGTGACCGTGCGACCGCGGAACCCGATTCCGTCAGTTGCCATTTTCCATCCAAAGGTTGGTATGTGTGCAGCAGTCAAGCGTTCCTTCAGCGCCTGCCGTCTCACATTGCGTCCAGCCGGAACTCATATGCACATATGCTGATAACCTGATGACCTGGTAACCTGATTACCCGATTACCTGATTACCTGGTTACCCGATTACCCGATTACCTGATTACCTGATTACCTGGTTACCTGATTACCCGATTACCCGATTACCTGATTACCTGATTACCCACACCTACCGTGTCGCAAGCAAGCAGCCTACCCTGTATGGTCCCGCAGAGATTCCTCGGTGGCGGTCAACGTGACAGCAGGTACTGCTTCCTGGTAGGGGTCCGAGGCTGCGATCCTGGCGACACCTGTTGTGAGACACTGCTACGAGGCGGTGTGGACAGCCTCTACTTACAAACAAGTGGTGCGTACGACTCACGTGAGGCGGGTGGGCGTAGTTAGGATTGATGTGGCTGCAATCTAACCCTTTCCTAACGCTTTCCTTACACCTAGTTCTTGCACGGCAGCGACGGAGCGTTCATATTGGGAGCATTGAATGTTCGTTGTGGACGTGTACACGCAAGTTGTTCCTTAATGCAGAGGAAGGAATGCCTTGCTAACGGACTGACTGACTGACGGACTGACTGACTGACGGACGGACGGACTGACTGACGTATCTTGGTGCGGCCGGGCAATGCTGCAGGTGTCACCGCCGTACACTCGCGTGGGCACAAGCATGTGGAGATGGGGGTTCGGCAAGTGGAGGTCAACGGCAGCATCTGGATGCGCTGGGACGCGGCTCCGCAGCGTACCGACGGCGGTACCCTCCCTGCAGGTGCGCCTGTACATACAGCCTTCAGCCTTGTTAGTAGCTAACTCGCTAGCTAACGGTATTGCGCCACAAGAGAGGCTGCGGTCCGACTCTAATTTTTGGAAGGTCGATTTCACCACAATACTCACTAGACAGCCGCCAGGCATTCGGCCCATTTGATGTGTACAGGAAAGCATTCCCAGCGACACGTGCACATGGCACGGTTGGCCGTGCTAGGCCCTGCTAGCTACTGGTCGTGGCTCGCATGCATATGGTATTATTGTGGTTACTCTACACAGCTTTACGCACTCACACTTTAAGCCCTCGCCATGCATGTATCCATTATGCCTGCCCTTCATGCAGGCATGGATGATATCGACGCTGCCACCATCCGCATCTTTGGCTTGTCTCTGGATTCCTCCACCTTCTCCGGCACCACCATTTGCTTAACCACCACCTCCGTTGCTGACATGGAGCAGGGCTCCCTTGTTGGCGAGCAGCTGCTGTGCGAAGCCCCCGGGGACTGTAGGTGGGTTGATTGCGACGATGCAAATTGCGCCGTTATTGCATACGCTTCTGTGGGATAATTGTATGCGGAGAGCACTTGCATCGTCGTGGGCGATATTGGTCCGGATGGCAACTAATCGTTCAACAACCAGCAGCCCGTGTGGGGCCCAGGTTAGCTGGGCCCGGGCCCATGGCCCGGTGCCACGAGGCCACCATGTGTTTGTCATTATTAGTCGCGTTGTTTGCTTATTACAAACTCCGTATGAATGCCGGGGTGTCTGTACAAGCCAGGCCATGGAAGGCTAGTTGCCGTTGTTGCGATGCTGGGCGTGGACGTTACTTCTGCTGCGTGCCCCTCTGCTTGCATATCTGTTCGGCCGGGATAGCCGTTTGTTATCAGCTCTATCTCGTGCCTCAGCCAGTGTGGAACTAAGTTGCGTGCCTGCGGTAGCGTGGCTTCCAGTCCCACTGGCCAACGTCAAGTGGCGAATGCTAGCTGTTCAGCCCAGCAGCCACACGAGCAGCTATTCGCAAGCAAAGTGGCCCCCTGCCATTTGTCGTCGACCTCATGCATGTGCATATATGAATGTCCCCTAATGTAGGTTTGCGGTGACACCGGCAGCAGCAGCGGGCGGCGCCAAGGATGCAGAGAAAGATGCGGCGGTGTGTTCGGTCCTGGGATTCCGACGCCGGGCCAGGCTGTTGGCTTCAGTGCCTGCCGCCACGACCGCCAGCCGGACCGCCTCGCAGCCGCCTGCCAAGCGCCCGGTGTCCTCCCCGCGCCTCCGGCCGCCATCGCCACGCCGCATGCCCTCCCCTCCCATCAGTAAGCCATCCCCGCCATCCCCACAAGTCTCGTCGCCGCCGCCGCCATCGCCATCACCATCACCTCTGTCACAGCCCCCGTCACCTTCGTTGGGCTCCAAAACCTCCGATGCGGCAATGATATCTTACAGCCAAGTTTGCGCGGCTATCAACCTGATTTCACCCCGCGACCAATCCGGGGCCCTGACCTACACGTTTGGAAAGCAGGTCAGCTGCGATGGCGCCGCTGAATGGATGGCGAAGAACCTGACGGACGCAGCCCAGCAGGCTGGTGCCCAGATCTCCACTCCCTTCGCGCTGGAAAGCTGCAGTGCCACCTACGATCCCAACGTCAAGCCACCCGCGGTGCCGTACGTCATGGTGTGCGGCTCGTTTGCCAACGTAAAGGAAGCCGCCAAGATTCAGGGCCTGTTGAGTCCCATTCTGTTGCAGTGGTCGTACCTTGTTCTCGGCCGTAAGCTGCCCGAGGGGGCAGGCTCGCTGCCGTACATGTGCCCACCACTAGGGTACACCATCCAAACTATGGTGTGGGGCACAGAGGACGAGTCACCGGTTGCTTTCTCGCAGGTGCAGTGCTCATTGCGTACTTGAATTCCAGAAGCGTTGAAGCCGCCCTCTCATCTCTTACTGGGAGATACAGTCATATGTCGATCTTCCATGGACAGATCGTATATGAGACTTCATCAGTGGCGGAATTAATACGACGTGTACAGAGAAGGAGCGGAAAACAGCCATTCCGCGAGGGTGATTGCGTATGACATCAAATCGTCTTATACATTTATGTGGCTGGGCTCCTGGTTGATTGATTGTCCTTGGGCACAGGAGCTGGGTGTGCACCTTACCAACAAGTCCGCATGCATCAGCGAATATTGTACTTCCTCTTCTACTTGCTTCTTGCCATTGCGGAATGGGTGCATTGTTCTCGTACAAAGGACTAGCAAGCCGTGCATAGAATTTGACGCTATGACATACATGCATGCCAAGTAGCTATGGGCAATGTATGTATGTCGTCGGAGCAGGATTACACTGGTAATGGGGGCTGCTGCGGCAGATTGCGTACCGCTGCACTGACAGGCTAGGGGTAGGAGCTTAGGTCGTAACAGATAGAGAAGGTCACTTATCATGCATGGTCAACCGAGCGATTGAACGGAGCCAGGGGCAGCTGCCTGCAGGGGCTGTTGCCTGCGTGCTCGGCGATGTATGGCTGCACACTACTGCGGCGGTGCTACTGTTTGTCTACACGGGGAGCTTGCAGCAGCCGCGCACGTGTCCCTGGACTCCCATTCCGGAGCCCGGAAGCATCATCAAATCGCCAGATACGTGCGTGCTGTGAGCATTAATGCTTCATGTTTACCCGCTGTGCAAGCCAACCCTGAAGTAAAGGTTTGGTTATGAGCGAGGCGTCGAATGCCCACATTCGTTGCATGCATACCTGCTTACGGCCATAGATTTATAGATGCCATCTTTCGTTACTCGTTTCTAGGGTTAGGTTTTAGACAGCCAGCTAGGCCTTGGGCGTGTAAAACACATACGCGTGGGGGAGGCGCGGGGTTGGTGCGCATAACGCAAATAATAAGCACTCAACGGCTAGGACCGGGTGCCCGACGTTTGGTTTCCTGATAACAGGACAATGAAGAATGGAATTCCCTAGAAACTGTGTACCAATGGGCGGCCATCCTGCATTAGCGCGCATGTAGAGCTTGGTTCCTTTCGCATCTGTATGCCGCCGTATACAGTACAGCAAGCGGGGGCAGTTAACGTTAACAGGTTAACCTGTGCGCTCGCTCCTCGGCTGTGAGTACGCCGCAGCAGGGGCCTGCATGGCACCCGAGCGGAGCTACTATTAGATGCATGAATCGAATATCAAATCTTTATGCACCTGCGGATTTGGAAATTTTGACTGCTGCAACACATGTAGCTGGCGCTGCTCGCATTTATTATCCTGCAACAGGTGTGCTCATGGGACCTTGCGGGCAGTAGCCCCAGCGGTTTTGCGTTTTGAGAGGCTATGACTACGTACGTTGTGAGGTGTATGTGAAGCTGTTCTAGCTTGGTGTGCGATTTGCTCCTTGTACAGATACATATAGCTTGTGAAGGAAACACCAGGCCTGTTATTAATTAGCTTCAGGCTAATACAATAACCGCTGTGATTTATCACCGCCCGCCCTTTATCCGCGGCATTTCAGTTCGTGCGAAAGTTGCTCTTGGATGATGAGATACGCAGATAGAAGGACACACATTGACATCCAACGACGCATGGTATCAATGAGGCTTGGCTGTGCATGCATGGTTGACAGCTCCCATTTCATGTATGTCATCAGCTGCCTGCGTGCGTGCAGTACGGTGCCTGATGAATGCTAGCTTGGTAATTATTGATGGGCTAGCCGATTTCTTGGTTTAGTAATTTGTCTGCAGAGATCATTGCGGCGGGAGAATGACATTAATTACAACATCAAGCAGGTAGTACGCACGTACACGCAAGCAGTGTACGAATATCCCGCCGGTCCATGTGGCCTGGGATCCTAGGGAGTGCTCACCAAGAAAGCAAGCGGAAGAGAAAGAAATTGTGGAGCACGCATCAATTTTGTGGTAGATTATTGGCTGAACATGATGATTTATGAGTATGTGACACCGCCGTGTCAAGGCGGCGGGTTGTAAAGTGGCAACAGCAGACTCTTGATTCCTGAACATGTGTAACGCGATGGCAACAGCATGTTCTGTTCGTCTGTTTGTCTATATCTCAGACGTCTGTCTGTCTGTCTGTCTGTCTGTCTGTCTGTCTGTCTGTCTGTCTGTCTGTCTGTCTGTCTGTCTGTCTGTCTGTCTGTCTGTCTGTCTGTCTGTCTGTCTGTCTGTCTGTCTGTCTGTCTGTCTGTCTGTCTGTCTGTCTGTCTGTCTGTCTGTCTGTCTGTCTGTCTGTCTGTCTGTCTGTCTGTCTGTATATATGTGTGACGCTGATTACACTGTGGGCTTAGAGCCGGGGGCTCACGGCCGAAACGCAGCGCTGGGGCAAGACACACGCGGCTGGTTGGTCTCATGCATTCAGCTCCCGGATCAGACCGCGCGAGATACGACGGCCGGCACTAAGCAGCGTTCCCCACCGGGGGGTAGCGCTAGAGCTAAACGGGCTCTAGGCCTGCTAGTCACCTAACATAAACGAAGTCGCACCCGGGGAGTTCTTCCTACGGACTGAAAATACAGAAAGCACACGTTCAGGACCAGGGTGGCCGGGAGCCCGACGAGTCATCCCGGGGTGGGGAGGTCACCAAGCTCCAAACAGCCTCAAAGAGAAAGAGCACAAAGAGCTCACACAACAAGATGCAAAACAACCTCCCGAGACCGAGCAAACGAGGCGGGAGGCGGGATTCTTGAGGAGAGAGGGATGGGGTATTGAGATTTGGGGGGGAACCAGGGCTTGGGTTTTTCGGGGGGGAGGTCGAAGGGTGAGGGTGGGGGGTGGCGGGGGTGAGGGAGTAGGGATGGGGGCCGGAGGCTTGTCGCAGAGAGGATGGGGGGGAGAGACGGGGAGGGAGGGGCTATCGATTCGCGGGAGCTGTGCTGGCGAGTCGGGGAGACAGCGGCCTAGTGGATTGCCTCCCGGTAGCTGGAGCCTCCACCCGGCCGATACCTACCGAAGGAAGACTTATTTCATTTGCTTGCAGATACCCTTTGTAACGTATGATGATTCCTCATAAAAACAGCGGGGTAGTAACGTATAGTCTTACACTTCATGCGTAAGATGCGTACGACACCTTGACTTGGGCTAGACTACCTGGGTGGTTGCTTATCTGCTGTCAGGTGTCCTTTGGCTCGGCGTGCCGCGATTGCGTTGTTTTTGGTTGTGCGCTTGAGGCAGGTTTGAGGCAGGCAAGGGATGCACCAGCGAGCCGCACACCCTCGCTGTTCTCCGCTGGTTAATGATGGACCGCTGCTGCATGTCATGTCGGGCAGGGGGGGTAGAAACTTTGGGAGCCGTAATGGTTTGTGAAACGTGGAATGTCGATGGGTTCATCAACATTGGCTCATCAACGATGGGCTCATCAACGATGGGCTCATCAACATGGCTCATCAACCATGGAATGCAGGCATATGTGTGGGAACCTCGTGTATATGCCATGACGACACGCCCGCGCCCCATTGTGATGAATGTTCAAGAATGTGTGGTGCGTGTGGACACCTCAAGAGCTCCCGATACTTACAGTGCGTTAATGATGATGGCTGCAAGCTTATGTGTCACAAAGCACATACACGATGTACTCACGGACGTCGTCTTTATGAGAAAGGAAGCGTGTGTAATGATATTCAATGAAATCAGTGAAGAAACTTGTAAGGCTGTATTTCAAAAGACGGAAGAAGAACTTTGCCTGTCTTAAGCAAGCACTTGATTCCTGTGGGCCACATCACCCCTTCTTGCGAATTGTGCCAGGCAAGTTGTCATGTTCACGGGACCGGCCACCGATGGACCATTCGCTGTAGTACATGGTACCCAGCTCGGCACACATAACCTCTACAAATACGCGCTAAGCGCGACCGCCAGCACTCGAGAGGCCCTTTCAGCGGTCAGCTCCTACATTCGCTATCACCTGTATCACGCTTCTTTATTTGGGTTTCTTTTATTTGGGAGCTTTTGGGGCACAGGCCTCATCTAGTAACAACGTGCAAGTTCCTGTCGGTTTTTGCTGGTGGGCCTTCTGGTGGAGGTCCGATGCGTTTCACCAATTGGTGAGCCTATTGGCAGTTTTCCCAGTGGGTGTTTTGCTTGCCCTGATCACCTTAGGTGCAGTGCACGGCCCGCTGGCCCGCTGGCTCTACTCTTCACGAGTCTGGAGCCCACTGTAACCACCACAACCCCCAACCCCCACCCCCAACCCCAACCCCAACCCCTGGAGACAATACTGCAATTTGCGGTTTAAGATCCTGGGATAGACTTCCCCGAAATCATCGGGAGCATGATCATGGCTAGCTGCTGAGATGCGGAGTTGAGGTCAAGAGTTGATGAACCGAGAGTCGCACGTTGGATTGGTGGCGACGCGTGATATGACGAGGAGAGATCTGAAAAGCAGAATCAACCGCCTTGGACTTGCAGTTCGTATGGCGCAGTACAGTGTGGTAATGGTGGATGGTGCTGTATGATGTTCAATCCTAAATATGACAATCGAAGTGTGTTCAATAGGCCTAGAAGCCTCCCACGCTGTAACACCACTACCACCACCACCACCAACAACAACAACAACAACAACAACAAGTGTGTGGAGGAACCCAATGCAGGAAGTGTGCGCTTAAAAGCGCAAGCCCTTCCGTGCGCTTTCATACTTAATTTACGCCCGCTGAAACACCCTTAGGTGTGGGCAGCAAGAGTGGATGTTCGTACGGATTCGCCGCACCCATAACTTCAAGTTCGGACAGTTACGCACGGAATTTTTTCGTATTGTTGTTAACGATTTTGTTTTGATGAAACTGAAGAGGCAATGGCTTTGCAATTGTGGCTGCTGGCCAGCTTGCGAAAGTGCATACCAGCCGCGACACCTGGCCCAGACGAGGTGCCGCCCTGGAGCGATGCTAACCGATTTCTTGCCAGCGCGCTGCTCGCAATTCCAGCACAACCGTCTTTTTCTCTTAAACAACAGCAATTTGGTAGGGTTGACGAACGTGAAAGAAACTCGACCCGAACAAAGTCGAGTTTGTCATGTCAACGGTATAGCATTCCTTCAAGCCACAAAGAACACAGTAGTTCAAATAGTAATAATAGTAATGCTCTTATTATAGAAGCAAATATTTGCTTCGTTCTTGTATGTGCGATAGCGACAGCCACGTGCGGCATTCCAACCTGCAATATGTGAGACAGAAAAGATGATAAATGCCTTATTGCTACTGGTGAACTTTGTAAAAATGAAAGCAAAACTGTCCAATGTCTTTCTGTACGGCGACCCTCAACACCACTGCATGACCTGCCAAGGGCTGCAGACACCTCACTGACACTGACAACCCTCCTAGCCCAGGCCTGTTCTTCTTTCCCATTGGCTCCCATCATCGCAGTGTGCCCAAACAAAACTCCATCCCTTCCGCCGCCATTGCCGCCATCACCATCCCCGCCATCGCCACCACCTGCCATCGTCACCCCTGCCACCATCATCATCACCACCGTCGCCATTGCCACTGTTGCCATCCCCACCGTCACCATTGCAACCGTCACCATCCCTGACGTCACCATCCTCACTGCTGCCATTGCCGCCGTCGCCATCCCTGCCATCACAATTGCCACCGTCGCCATCCCTGCCATCACCATTGCCACTGTCGTCATCCCTGCCATCGCCACTGCCGCCATCGCCATCCCTGCCGTCGCCATTCCTGGCGACGGCGGGATCAATGGCGATGGCAGGGATGGCGACAGT